TTCTCAGTATACTAATCCTGTGCTTAATAGAATAAGGTACCAATATGTTTCCTATAAAAAATAAATTTTAAAATTAGTACATCACAAACTGAGACATTCATGAAAAGTTATTATTAGAGTGGTTGTAAATGTTACATACTCTGATAATTGTAATTTTCAATTCAAATATATGTATAGGCAATATATATTTGATTTGCTTTCAACTGGTGTCATATAAATATGGTTCTAGATCATGTAGCAGTTGATTATTAAGTGAATGTGAGGTACTGAATTTCTAAATATATGAATGGTATTAAATAAATTTTGTGAGGATCTATATACTGAAAAGTAGTATTGAATAGACATGATGAAAACAAATAGACAAAAATGATATGAATGTTTATATTCATCTCAAGAATGTGATCATTTGAAAATATTTTTCTTATAATACATATATGAAGTTATTTATTAGTATCGGTAATAATTGTATACTAAATTTATAATAATTAAAAAGCTAAGAAATAATATTTATAATAGCATTTATAAATTTTTAGAATTCTGGGCAATGTTATATAATAGGAGTTACAAACTCAAGTGCCCAATGCCTATGAGGATCAAGGAGTTCATATAAATTAACGAAACAATTAAGTGTCCATAGGAGAAACTTCTGGTGACCAAAGAGTTAAAAGACTTTGAAAATACTAATGAAACTTCAGGGTACCAAATACATCTAGAACCAAAAAAATAAAAATAAATGAAACATTAATAACCAAGGAATTTTTTTTTGTTTTAAAATATAGTGGAATTATCATAATAAATAAAAATAAGCAGTAACATCCTGTGGGAGATATATAGACCAAATCACCTGAAATGTCGTGGGGAGGAAGAACAAGGAAAGCAAACCGAAAGTACTTGACATGAGCTATGGGACTCAGGATTCCAACTCTGAAGGACAGATTCAGGAAATGCCCAGGTTGATGAAGTGGGGAGGTTAATGGGGATGTACGTGGCAGAGAGGGCAATTAGTCTGTCTCATTGGAGAGGTTCAGTGCCTGAAGATAAGGTTGCTTAAAGATGAAATTAGATCTCTGCTTCTTTGTGCTTCTGAATCTCAAGATAGAACATTTAGATGATTGACAAAGAGTTTAGAGCTGAATTAGTAGAAAATATGCATAGAAAACCAAGCAAAAATAGCAGGGAAACCATAAACCATAGCATATTTAATTTTGATTACATTACAATTAATTAATGTGAAAACAAACCCACATATTTCTGGAAGCTATTTATAATATATGTTATTGAAAAATGATTACTATCAAAATCATATGATTATGTGTTTAGAAACTATAAAAAATTTTAAAAAGGAACAAAATAAAAATACATAAAAGAAAACTATCACAGACATGAACTGACAATTTATTAAATTAACTGAGTGACATATAAGTATAAGGTGAGTGCATAATCTCATTAGTAAATTTTTCAAGAAAATCCTGGGGGAATGGAAACTTTATAAGTAAAATATATTGACTTTTAAATGCTGGCAATAATATGGTGATTTTTGTCCCAGTTTTTAACATTATATATGCTAACACTATTCTGTCAAACAACAACAAAGACTGCAAGTCAGATAAGACCCAATGGCTGTGCATGGATGTTTTGATTATACAGACTTAAAGAGCTGGTGTTTCTATTTCATATAAACTATCAATATTTATTCTTAGAAAAAGTTACACATTATTACTAAAATTTGGAAAGCAATTAAACATATTTTAGTAAAAAAAAATTTTTTTTAGTGTTTTTAGCTAGCTTTTACCTACATTCTACTACCCAAGTATAAAAAATTAGTGGGCTAAGAGCAGTCCAATTGGGAGATTACAAAAATAATTAAAACTTAAGAAGAGAAGGCTATTATTTTATTTATTCTTTCTGTTTTGATTCTGACATTTGGAATTTATGGCCTGAAATCTAATAGAATACCATTACCATATTCTTTTAGAAACCAAGATCATTGAATGATATTTCAGATTAATATGAGGCTTTAAAAAAACTGGAAGAATTATTTATACTTTTCTGTAATTTTGAAAAGACTTTTCAGGTAGTAACTTAATTATTATTAACCAGAATTCAACAAACAGTATTTGGATTTAACAGTTTAGTCTATAATCAATACTGTGTTGAAGGAATGTTCATTGTTATAAATTTGAGCACATTTTTTGTTTGTTTGTGTTATTTTAATTTCCTATACATTTATTATATTTTACCAAATTAAGAAAAATGTCATATCTAAATATTGAGCATATCATTTGACATTTGGCAAATACTTGCTGCATATCAACAAGGTATGAGGCACCAATCTAGGCACATGGTATATTTTAGTGAATATAATAAATGAAAATTGTGGCCCAAAGGGACCAACCATTGTTGGAAGTGGTCATCGAGAGAAAACGACCTCTGGTTGACATGCAGACTGGGCCTGGGCAATCTTAGACTACTTATTCTATCCTCTGTCCTTGGAATGTACGTTCTGCCATCATTCTCACACTAGCTGTTTTAAAGATGCAACCTTGAGACAGTAAGATGTGAGAACATTTGGACAGTATATGTGACTAAACGAGCTAAGACCTTCATATAAACTTTTAAGATTTTGGCAGGTGGATGCCAAGATCTACTTGTCTTGGCAGATGGGTGCCAAGACAAGTCTCCTACATAAATCTCCTTGCTTATTAAACCTGCCACCTACCAATCTGGAGTGGCCTGCCTTTTTCTTCTGTCCTTCCTCACCTTCTATGCACATGCGCCAGTCTGCAAACCAATAACTATTCTGGTAGAAATAGGCAGACAAAAAAATTAAATGATAGATAAATTATGTATCATATTGAATGGTGATATTCGTTGTGGGAAATAATTATTTTAAAATAAATCGAGAAAGGAGAAATGGATTTGGGTGATTGCAGTTTTAAATATATTGTTTAATATTGTTCTCACTTAGAAATGATATCTGAACTAGGACTTGAAGGAAGTTACACAGTTAATTTCATGAATATCTGGGGGAAGATTGTTCCAAGGAGAGTGATCAGTTCAAAGGGAAAATGCTTAGCATTTTTAAGGAACAACAAAGAGCCTAGAATAGCTGAACTAAAATGAGTTAAGGAAGAGGAAGAGAATAACATCAAAGAGAAAACGGAAACCCAATCTGGTAGATCTTTTGTGAAGACTGACTTTCACTGTGAAGAACAATCAATGTTTCTAAAAGAGAAATGAGATGCTCATACTTACCTAACAACAACAACAACAACAACAACAACAAAAGAAATCAAATAATTTTAAGCGCTCAGTGTTTTTTCTTTTTTTTAGCATTAAATTAAATCTTTGATATGTGTTAGCTATTGGTGGTAAAAATATTAAAATAGTATTAGTTTTCAAAAAATTTTACAACATAGTAACATTATAGAACATAAAAATGCCTGTTTATGAGTTGCTAAGTATTTACTATTTAAAAAGGCTTGGTACCAGACTAGTCGATGTTAAATTTTAAAGTAAATTTCAACTAAGAATCAGCCTTGCTGTGACATTTGCTCCTTAAAGGATGAGTACTAAAAGAGAAAGCACAGAATAATTCATGGCACATAAAATGGATAATATATAATCTCCTTGTGAATTTTCATCTTTTAGTTTAGGTTTTATTCTCCAGGCCAAAACAGGGTAAGTTTTCTGTGTGGCAATCTTTCAAAGATTTGCAAAGAATTATTATACACAATTCTCCCTCTCTCTTCTCCTTCTTTCTTATGTCTGAAAGTCCCCATGTTTTGTTTTTTTTCTGGACTGTCTTAATCGTTAGTAAAACTTGACATTCCTTAAGGTTTCTTATTCTTAGCCTATATGTCACTACTTCTTTCAAGATTTCCTCAAACTTTGAATCTCCTCAATAAAATGACCAATTAAAAAACTCCTCTAGTTTGTTGATGCACATTTTTAAATGTTACCCAGAATATATCCCATGAATTGTCTGATTAAAAAAAAAAAAAAAAAATCAGAGCTAATAGTTCTCATTTTGTTAACTATATTATTGAGGGAAAAAAGGTGATTTAGATATTTTTCTTCATCTACATAACATTACTGACACATACTTCATTTACTGTCAAAATTCACTGGTTTAGTCCTATATTAAAGAATTATACATGAATGTAAAGTTAATTATTCACAATATATTTATAATATTTTATATTCCAAATGTGTCCCCTATCCTGTTGATAGTAGACACCAATGGTTCAATAAACATGTCCATATTTAAGTGATTGAAGCAGAAAATAACAGTTTATACTAAAAAGCTTTTATGGTTCCACAATATTTTAGTTCCAAATCACATGTGGTAACTTAGCAATTTTTCCCTGAGTAAATAATGTTTTATCTTTAAAGATGTAAAAAACTTCTGGTATAAGTGAGATTAGAACTGCTCTAGGAATTAAATAAAGTGAAGTTTATTTTTATAAATACTATTTTATTTCATAAAAATACAAAAATATAAATATACATTTATAAAAATATGAATGAATTAACACCAAGACATTCTTCAACTAAATAAATATGGCAGTAATAGTCATTCCTATTTCTTTAAGGATATATATATATATTTTATATTAATTTACAAAGCAGTTGAACGATGTTTCATTTAATAGTAAAGGTGATTGTAAGTCAGTTAAGAAAACATTTATAAAGTTCTTATATCTAAGAAAAGGCACAAAAAGCCTTTTATATATTTCTTATTGATTATTGATGTGATATACTTTTCTTCAGAGATCGTTAGGCAAAGAGGGTGAACTGATTATTACTTTTTAAAAAATCTATATCATTCGTATTCATTCACAGGAACTTACTGATTAAGCAAACCCTTACTAAGACAACACCTACGTATTGTTTGTAATTTTAATTTTTAAAAAAATTTCCTCCAAGGTAGAGAATACAGGCCACTTAATCTAGTAACAAAGAGTACTTTCACTAACATAGATCAAGTTGTTCAACACTCAATCTCGGTCACTCTCATCACCTCCATACATATCGGCAAGTTTTTTAAAACGAGGCCCCCAGTCGCTGAGGTAATCATAATCTTGGTTGCAATCTGCTGTGAGAGACTCTAAAGAACTGAGTGAATCTGCTATGGAATCATTCCCTTCATAGGCGTATGTGGCCAGTGAATCATAAGGAGGCGCGCTTGGGTCTGAGTCATTTTCTTTTAATCTTCGATGGATAAAATCTTGTACATCAATGTTTTCCCACAAAGGCACAGTCCTTCTTATCTGAAAAATAGTTTCAGGCATTACATCCCTTCTAAGTTTACTGTCTTCTCTTGCTTCTGGATTCCTTAATGTGCCGATGTCAAAAGCTTGAGTATCTTCTTCCCCGCCCCCTTCGTCATTGTAAGTCACGATGTTGTCTCGGACATCGTCTTTCGAAATTATCAGAGGTTCCTTCTTTCTTTGCCTCTTCAATGCAGCAAATAGCACAACTAAAACTATTAACAGAGAGAGGGAGGGAGAGAGGAAGAGAGGAAGGGACGGAGGGAGGGAGGGAAGGAGGGAAGGAGAGAGGGAGGGAGGGAGGGAGACGAGATGAGATTCCATGATTCAGGTTTAAATTAAACATAGCACATTTCTATGAATGAAGTTTGTGTGGTGTGAGAGGTGCTAAGATTGGATAAAAAGAGTAACTATCTTATACAAATACAGGGTGCTTTGGGCCAATGACTGGATGAATTGAAATGATAAAGAAGCAAATATTACAGTGCCATTTATTTACTTTCAAGACTCTCCTAGGGAAGAGTTCTGGCATTGAAAAAGCTTTATGCAATTACGGCTAATGCATTTAGCCAGCTGTAAATATATGGTACCTCATTCCTCCTAAAGGAAAGTTTCTTTAAAAGTACTAAAATTCTAAAGCTATGATAATTATTATCTCAAGAGAAATTGACTATCAATATTTTCTTAATGACTCAGGGGAGTAAATGCAAAACATTACTCATATATATATATGCATATATATATGCATCATATACATATGTTATAGTATATATATTATACATATATACATATGCATAAATGCATACATAATATATATAACTATATATGACAAGTATATAACAAATAACAGATAACAAATATATATGTATATACATATATATAAATATGTATATGCTATTGAACTCATCCCTTTACATAGCTGGCATCTATTTAAATTCTTTTATAGACCTGGCTTTGAAAGTTTGCTTAAGGTTTGAAATATAACTCTAGAGCTACAGTATAAAATTCAAACTCAAACTTATCTTTAACTTATATTTATCTTACAACTCAGATATTATCTTGTTACTGAGAACTTTCTTGACTTATACAGTTGCAGTCAAGCTTTTTTGCTAAAATGTTAATTTTACTCCCTGTATTTGCTGTATTGTTTTTATTATTTACCTATATTATTACCTATATTGTATATTTACATATGTAAATCATATTATCAAGTTAACTGTAAACTTCCCCACATATATTCTCTTATTTTTCTTATATTACTGGAATTTAACACATATATATTTGACAATGAACATATGCAAAATAAATACATTATGTAATAAAAAAGTACATTTAAAAATACAAAAAAACTCATGATTTCCAAAATGTATATTTTCTTTTGAAAATGAACCAAGTCTTTAATTATATATATAAGAAAAGTTAATAATTAAATTAAAAAATTTCCCCCAGACACATTTACACATTGCGTGAGAGAAATAAAAAATAGGTGTCCCTTACTTTAGGGGCAGATAAATGTTTTGTCAATATTATTCATGTTTCATTGAAAAACAAGAAAATGTTGGCTTAACAATCTTATTATTTCTTTCCTCAGTCTTTGTTTGGAGATTACACAAAGCAAACTCCTTTATATTAAAACTTCTACGATAGTCCGTGAGGCCTCTATAACTCCATTAAAAGCCTATCCAATGCTATTGTTATATTGGCCAACACACTTTCCTCAGATCCTACTAATGGGTAGAAAGTATGAAAAAATGAAAATCATCAGAAGCATTTTAGTTAACCTCCACAGAATGGGGTTTGGTTGCTGAGCTATATTCAGAATCACCTTGAAGAAAATTTTCAAAAACTGTTCAGTAGAAACGAGACATCTATATTCTATTAAAAAAAGATGAATATAAGTTAAATCTAACATAAGTTTGAAATCCGACAATCTAGTGAACCATGCTGTAGAAAAAGAGTTTTCTTTCTAAACTAATATTGGATTAATTTAAAAATTCTCTACTTTTTATAAATAAAATAACAACTATATAGTCATTATTTTAAGGGTTTACTAGCTAATATAACATTTACTAACTCTCACAAATTGTCCTTGGAATCTGTTCTGAGTGTTTTCACCTCTGTCAGGTCAAATTTATTTGCTTCTTTCCCCTATATTAAGGTTGTTATTATGGGCGTATGGAAAGAGAACTCAGAGGGGCGAAGGTAAAGAACAGAAAAAAGTTCATTATTTTCACTAATCTAGAACTAGAATTTAGCATTTCTTTCTATTATGAATATCAGTAATATCTGTGTCTATTAAACCAATAGAAATCACATATTTTACATTGCATTATATTTGCAACACATCTCAAATGATCATTAGACTTGCACTAGAACAAGGCACATATGACTATAATCAAGCATATTTTGCTTTTTCTGTTTTTTATTTAATTTGGATAAATGTATTTTTGTTTTGTCATATATATACACATATATATATAACTTTTATAAATTTAAATTATTATTCTATATTAGGTACATAAGCTTTATCTGACTGCCAAAGAAGTCCAAGGAATCAAAAAGGTTAAAAAGCCCGGCCTTAGCTTTTTATCTCCTACTTTGCCTTGTAACATAGGTGTAAACTAAGAACTATACATTTCTTCAAACTATAACAGAGTAGGACTAAAATAATATTTTCCAAGCTATATCATTATCTAGCAAAGAGCAAACTTTTAACTATAGAAATGCATTACTTCTGTCCAGCCATCAATATAAAGACTGAGAATAACAGCAAGACTGCGTTGGAAACTTTGATAATAAAAATAATAGAAAATAACTCTACATTTAGGAAATAAATTGGGAAGGTGAAAAATAAATATGTTTCTTCTATACTGTTCAGGGCAGAAAGGTGATAGACTTTTGAGAATAAAATTAAGAAGGCTTCTAGGATTTCTGCATAGAGAAAAATATTATAAATTTAGTTCGATAATATTATAACATCTAAACTTATTGAGGGGGAGTACTTTCATTCCCCACGTATGCATGCATGCCTTTATGGATGTGTGTGTGTATTATTAATATAGAAATAAAAAAATCAAATTTGAAATATACATGTTTTTATGTTCTAAATTAGGAAAGTGTTCTAAATGAGCAAATAAAAAAATATTAAAAGCATAAACATAGCATTTAGCTAAAAGAGTAACCCAAAATTTAATCTCCATGGGGAATACAAAAATATTTTACAAAGGGGTTGAACTTTCTAGCAGCAGGTGGAGATGCAGACTGCTGATGGTGATAGTAGTGGTGGGTGTGTTCTAACACACCCAGAGAAAATGTTTTTCTAAATAGTTAGATACTTATAGTTAAAATAATGTTTTCACGTTGATCAATTACCCACTGAAGTCCTGCAAGGATATCTGGCCAAAGGGATTTCATCCAGATAGTTTGAAAGGATTTGCAGTGAAAAGGAGCCAGCACATATGGGCATTGGAACATAAATTTGGCTAGCTCTCCTGCCCTAAGCATAAGCATTTTGGATGAATACTTGATGGAAACAATTTGGGGGGGAATGTTTTACAGTGGAACAACTGTTTAATTGAATTAAATCGTTGTCCTGTTAGGGCATGCTCAAATAAAACATTTGGTATTGGAAGCATGACTTTATTTAGAAAACATTGCTGAACTAGATATTCCAAAATGCCATAGTAATACTTTTAAAAAATGACCTTAGACTTTTAATTTAGTGTACTGCACCTACATATAAAAAATTTTATGAAAAAAAAGTTAGTCTTATTGTGAGCTTAAATACATTTGCCAATTAGTTGTCTTCTGTATATGTATATGACAGTATTTGTTAGTAATATTATTTGCAAGATAGTCTTTGGTTTTGAGAATAATGGTTAAATAGAAGATTCTGAAATCAAATAATCTCAGTCTGAACATTAGTTAAAACACTTTTTAAATGAGTGAATTTGTGTAAGGTTTTTTGCCTTTCTGTATAATACAAGTATTTACTTTGTAGAGTTGAAATGAAAAATTACATTAAGTATTAAATGTCCTTAGAACAGTGACTGTGGTTAGTTAGCACTATCCATATATCTACATCATCTATATCTATATCTGTTTCTATCTATATCTGTACTTATACTATACCTATACCTATATCTATATCTATATATGTCTATATATCTCTCTATATATTTATATCTATATCTATCTATATCATCTATATCTATACCTACATATTTACCTGTAAAGTAACATAGTTCAGTATCTATTTATATCTTTGTTTTGGTCTTAGAAAGCTAGACCTATCTCACAGACAATATCCTAATTTTCTTTTTCCTAGTTGGCAGGACAAGTTTAATAAAAGTGTTAAAATATTCTATCCTTAGCTATAGAGAAGAGAACTTTGCAGTGCATAATCACTAGGCAATGAGGGGAAGACTTCTGTGAGTTAAATGAGCCTTTGGTGAGGTAGCTTTACCAAGTAGTATGATGACACAGAGCAGGATGGCAACGAGAGCTCCCGTGCTCAGGCCAGCCGATAGGACCAAGGCCTCTGCATTGCAAGACTGCATGTTTCCTTGATTATCGCAGGCACACACACGAATAGTGAGTGTGCCAGTGCTGCTTTGAATTGGATAATCATTGTCAAAGATTAAAATTGGCAGCAGATAGGTATTCATTTTGCTGCGGCTATACCCATCTTTCCGAGTCATGATTCCTGC